TACTGACTGCACAAAGTCGGCAAAAGAGTTACGCGGACAGACGTCGGTCCGAGCTTGAGTTCCAGGTTGGTGATTTTGTGCTCCTGAAGGTCTCTCCTTGGAAAGGAGTGATCCGATTCAGGAAGAGAGGCAAATTGGGGCCCCGATTTATCGGACCATTTCAGGTAATCGCGAGGGTAGGCAGGGTAGCCTATCGCTTGGATTTGCCGACAGAATTGGGGCAGATTCACGACACTTTCCATGTGTCGCAATTGCGGAAGTGTATAGCCGATGAGTCGGCAGTGGTTCCATTAGACGATATTCAGGTGGATGCAAGCCTAAATTATGCCGAGAGACCAGCCGCCATCAGGGATCGAAAAATCAAGGTTCTGAGGAACAAGGAGGTACCTTTGGTCTTGGTTCAGTGGCAGCATTGGAAGGGGTCCGAGATGACGTTGGAACCGGAGCGTGAGATGCGAGAGCAGCATCCAGAGTTATTTGCAGAGTGAGACTTCGAGGGCGAAGTCTAGTTCTAGTGGGGGAGAATTGTAACAGCCCGAAATTTTCAGGTATTATTTTGGACTTAATTATGGAAATTGTGAGTGGACTCGGCGAGTTGGAGCCCAGACTCACCGAGTAGGATCACGGATTTGGGCGCGGGTTCGCGTCCGGACTCGACGAGTCCAAGAGTGGACTCGGCGAGTCCACGCTGTGTGGTAAAACCCTAATTTCCAGGGTTTGCGGCCTATTTAAAGGGCCATATGGCCGTCATTTGTGCTCACCCAACCCTTAGAGAGAAACCCTTGAGAGCTGGAACGTTTTGAGAGAGAAAGGGAGCCTTATTGACCTTGTGTGTGTGATCTAGCAAAGAAGGAGAAGGATCTAAGCAAGAGGAAGTAAAGGAGATTGTTGTTCAGTGGATTTGAAGCTTAGAGCATCGATCTTGAGGTATGAATTCGATCTATTTTCTGATTTGTGGAGTATAGGGAGATCTAGGGTTTCTTATGGACATTTAAGGAATGATTTGATGCCAAATAGTCCCCCTCTTGTGTTGAGACTCTGGATCTGGATCCATAGAGGTCCAGAGAGCCTCACTCTTCCAGCTTTATGTATAGCAATGGAGTTTATGGCCTTGAGATATTGAAATTGAGACAAAAACATCATTTAGGGTCATATAGAGATTGTATGTGCATCAAGATAGTGACTTTACGTGCTAAATAAGCTTGGAGGGACTGGTTCTATGGGTTAATGGACTGGATCTGACCTCATGAACAAGTTTTAGTCATTGCATGGCACGGACTCACCGAGTCCGAAGAACAGACTCGGCGAGTAGTATGAATGTTGTCCGATCATACAACATATGGTCTTGCCGAGTTGGGAAGGGTTAACTCAGTGAGTCAGGGGGAAATCAGAGTGGACAGGTGGACTGAGTCAAGTTGGACTCACCGAGTTGTTCTTGAGACTCGGTGAGTTGAGTCGTGGTGGCCCTACAACTCATGCCAGGAGGGACTCGTCGTGTTAGGGGAATACTCGACGTGTCAAGGGAGGATTTCAAGGAAATTAGTGTACACGCTCAGACTCGCCGAGTCCGGTCAAAGTTGAACGTTGACCGTTGATCAGGGTTGACTTTTGTTGAGTTATTAAGGAGTAGCCAACTTTAGTTGGGAAAGTGTTAATTAGAGGTGTATTGTGATTTAGGAGTACTATAGATCGGGAGATCGAGCGCTAGTGATTTCAGGACTTACGACTTATCGAGATACGCGAGGTGAGTCTTCTCACTATACTTTACCTTGAGTAGGTAACTAGAGTTATGTGATACAGTGCTTGCATGCTATATTTGTGATGTGTTGCGTTGCATTATTCTTCGTGATTTATGTTGTGCATGTTTATAGAGTTAGAACCCGAGGGTTCATAGAGTTTGGGTGCACGGACCCACAGAGTTATAGCCTCGAGTGGCTAATATGTGTTATATGTGGTATTTTGGGGAACTCACTAAGCTTTGTGCTTACAATGTTTGATGTTATTCTTTCAGGTACTAGTGACAACCGCGGGAAGGCGCCGACTTGATCCGTACACACACACACGGAGTTTATACATTTGTGATCTTGGGATTTTGTATTTACTTGAATTGGATAATTAATATGGTGTTTTTATGAATATTAAATGAATTATGTTTTACTAAAATTTGAAAGTTTTGTTTGAAATTCACGGTGTTACAGCTTAAGTTTTGGAGTTGGATTCCTTTTAGCTTGGTTAGTAAAAAATATATTTTTGTTGTTAGAGTTTAGAATAAACATTTGGGTTATGGTTTCTGTTTAAAAAATCGAAGCATATTGGTTAAATCAAAAACCCAAAAACCAAAACCAATTATTTGCTTTGGTTTTGGCATTCTTGTTGTCAAAGAACTTATTTATGCCTTGAAAGAACTAATGTCCCTGAACACTCGTAAGGATAACAAATGCTTTCAAAATGATAAATAAAACACTTGTATTATTATGTGAGTGAAAAGTTCTCCCATATGAATAGGGATAGTTCATATACGTATCATTCTTCGGTAACACATGTTGAAGTTCTGCGTGCCTTTGTCTTTTCCTTTCTCATATCCTTAAAACATCATTTTTATTCTTTCTTGATCTATTTATTTTTAGAGAACAAGTGGAATAAATAATTAAGGTGAAACTAAAGTTACTTAAAAAAGAAAACAATATTAAATCATATTGCATGGTGTAAGTCAATTTCCTCATTGTATGGCGAATTGGTTGGTTGTTTAACAAGTTTACTATTATTTAGGAATGTATTTTTTATTTAGGAGTTATTTGATATCCTGTAGGATTATTATACACAGATATAGATAACCTCTTATTCTTCCATAACATATAATACAACAAAACTAAGATATTATTAATTCAAAAAGCTACTAACTTTTAAAAAAAGTGACATAACTACTCCAAAGGACCTTTAACAAAACATGCAACTGAATCTGTAAGTATACTAAAATCCACACCTACACTGAAAAATAAACAAAACTTAACATGTACAGTTTCATAAATGTAATTATTGCTCATGCACATAGGCATCAAAATCCGATTCTACTTGTTACACTTAAGTCTATTCCTGTTATGGATGACAATTCGGGGAAATTTATAATAAGAGATGATACTGAAGAGAAATCATTATCAACAAACACCCCACTGAATTTCGACATCACAAGTTTAATTAGAATAAATAAGATTTAAGGTAAAATATAAATAACATCTTATGCAAATAGATATTCTATGTACTAACTGATTCTTCATCCGAATCACCAATTAATTGTTCATGGAACACCTAAATCAATACAAATACAGTATATCGACTACTAGAAAAATAGCCTTTTAGGACGCTCATTGTGCGTCGTAAAAGGCTCAAACGACGCGCAAATGCGCGTCAAGGAAGGCTCTGTCATAAAGAGAGATGATGCGCATTTATGACCCTCATTTACGACGCGCAATTACGACGCGCAATGCGTATCAAGGAAGGCCCTATCATATAGGAAGACGACATGCATTCGCGTGTCGTAATCTTACGATGCGCGTGTTAATGACACGCAATGCGAATCAAGAAGCCCCTGTCAAGAAAGGCCATGTCATAAATAAAGATGACACACATTTTTGCGTATCATAATTTTAAATCTTTGAAAAAAATATTATTTATACATTTACTAATTTTTCATATTAAATAATACATTAAAAATCTCATAATACAAAATAAAATACCATAAATAACAAAGATAATTCATTTCACTAATATGTCAAATACAAATAATTATTCCAATAGTGAGTAAATGTTATAAAAAAATGAACTCATTTATATCCAATTGCATTATCTAGCTTACTATGTGCCAACAACTTCTATCTTCTTCCTTCTCTGCATAAACTTCATCAGTAGCATCCTAAAAAACTTCAATCTTTTTCGTCAGCAACATCCTCAAAAACTTCTATCTTTTTCCGTCTCTGCATAAACTTCTATCTCACACTCATTGTAGTTTTAAACATCAGGTTTAAAAAATCAAGTTTGTGAATCTCTTTTGCAGCACATCAGATGTGCTTGTTCCTTGAAATTATGCTGCTACTTGAGATACTATAGAAAGGAAATGTGATTTGGATATAAGAGAGAGAGAGAGAGAGATAGAGAGAGAGAGAGAGATAGATAGATAGATAGATAGAGAGAGAAACAAGATATGAATAAAATAGTTACTTACACAGAAATGTTAACCAACATTATAATTTATACGAATGCAATTCTCTTGAAATAGGGGTCCGCATCCAAACTCACAACAGTAGCACGTCGAACCCTAGCCTGTGACATTATAGAAATATGATAAATTTTAGTAAAATGAGCAAATTATAACAAGTTATACGAGGGCATATATCTAGAAACTTGTCGACGTTGAACTCCTTGGTCAATCCCGAAAGAACCCCCAAAAGATCCCTTTATCACTTGAGGCATTTAATAATAGAAGTTGTAACTGTACACATTGAAAGATGAAGGACATGTTTGTAATTACTAAGACTTAACTAGTTTGAATCTCTTTCCTCTTATATATAAAATATCTATAACGAGTCTAATTGCACCTAATGAAAAGCCAAGGGAAAAAAGAGTCTTTAAAGCAAAGAGTTCATGAGAGGTCCTAAGTAGTAGGGGCAAAAGGTTCTTTAATCCAGTTACTTCATGCCATCTTTATGGAATCCACTCATGCATCTTCGAATTCAGATGAGGTGCTAACTAAACTATGTTCAGTAACCCACTCATGCACATCAACCTTAAAACAATGTTGAAAAAAATCTGTTAAGCTCAAAATAACAGGGAATTTATGAATAATAGCAACACAGTTTTCCTTTTTTTACCAATGTGAGTATGCAGACTTCAATTTTTACCAATATGGTTACAATCAATATGCATTAGCCTAATTGGTAAAGAGGCAAAGTATGTTGCTATTTCCCACAATTTGCAAAATAGAATGCAATGGAAAACCATTAGAATTACCTCTGAAGCTCCAGATGAAGATCCAGTTGTGTGAAAAAGGAACGAGCTAGTTTCCCACCAAAACCAAAAGACACTCCAGCTTTGCATCGGTACCGTTTTGGAGCTTTTAAAGGTGCTGCATTAACAATCCAAAATATAAAGAATTATCTAAAAATTACTTATTAAATAAAATTACTCATCCACACCCACATATATGTAAACAATTAACTTTTTTTGTCATTTTAAATCGAACTCAACGGTTTTCATAAATAAGGCCAAAGTTTGTTTTAGGAATAGGAATTTACCCGAGATTTCCTTATATTGGAATGGCGAGTATCCACCACATTCTTGAAGAAATCTAGCTAAAGTAAGGCTTCTCAGGGTAGGTGCAGCCTGATATTTGAATGATCACATTTGAGGCATAACATCCAGCTCTCACACATTCCTCAATCGGCTTTTCTTTAACCAATTGCAATCTCCTCCACATTATCAGTCTGTAAAACATCATAACCAATTTTTATATAAAAAAGTTTGTGAATGTCATACTCATATCATCTTTTAACCAATCTTTTTTTTTTCTTACCTCCCACCCATGAACCTATGAGAATGTTCTTGCTTCAGTTTGGTTTCCAAAAACATAATCCACATAAGGTAATGCTTTCTCTTGAGCATCCTTCGAGAATTCACAGATGAATGGTGTTGACAGGTTTATTGTGAAAACCTACACAGGGGGGTAATAATGTCAGAAAGATAAGAAATTTTCAGTTCATACGAATCGGTGTATTACTCATTCATTATTACCTTGTTGGCTGCAGCTGCATGCTCAGCTACAAGCTGGATTGATTCAGGAGACACTATAAGGAAAAAGCCAGCAATATAGATGTACTTGGCCTTTTCAACTGTCCATGGTGATGATAATTAATATTAGTAATTTAGTATAATATATTAAAAAAAAGACAGAAATTGTTAAAAGATTTACCCAACGCCAAATTCTCTGGTTTCTTTAAGTGGTCTGCCTTGTAGCAGTTGGCAGCTCATAGGTTGGCACCCTCATCCACATAATAGTGCACATGATAAACATCATCATCATCATCATCATAAATATAATATATATATATATATATATATATATATATATATATATATAATCAATAATTGAAGCGCTCTCAAACTGAGGAAGCACACATGCAACACAAGCAGCTAGATATCTCCCACAAGCTGAAAAATGAGCACCCATTTCACTGCAACAACATACAATACAAACATCAACCCCCACCAAGCTCCTTATTTTTTATTTATTTAAAAAAAATGTTACCTGCAAAGGACAACATGCGGTATTGTTAAGCGAGTACTTATCACTTAATTAGCCTGAAAACCCGAATTTTATCTTTTGAATGGTAGCAACGTCGGTCTTGAATGACATGGCCAATATCTGATTATTGATGGTCGAATTGAAAACTGAATTTGGAATAGATACAGTCCCTACGCTTGCAGTACCAAATGCAGAGAGTGCTAAAGCTGGATTCTTAGTAGTGTCGACAAACCCAACTTCTAAAGAACCCATGAGAACAAACAACGGCTCCAAAGCTTGTGGATGGGTGTGTGGTGGGTTTACTGTGCCATTAGGGAACTAGAGTATAGCATAAGAAACGCTTTGACCATTAAGAGCTGGAAATTCAGCCATGGTTGCTTTCAGAACCTTAAAAGCTGTTAGAAATGGTGCACCCACTAGTGCTCTCATTGGTCAGGCTTTAGAGTGGCACATTGATTGTTTGAATCATGAGACCACAAATACTAATTTAGACCACAAATACGATTGGTTGAAATCTATATAAAAAGTAATACAATAATATAATGTAACTTCACAAATCATCCTAATCAATGAATCATTAAACCCTATACTCAATTAGGATGGACCAGAGCAACAATTAGAAAGCCTTTGGTACTGTTAAACCTGAGGATTCAAATAATGACTAGATAGAAAAATGAATCTGATCAAGTAAAGTAACTAACGAACTATTGTAATCATATAAGATAATAGATAGCTTTGGGAAAAAGCCGGTGGTGATGTCCATAAGAATTTGTCGGAGGAACCCTACTCTCGAAGTGAAAATTAGAAAGAGCTTTCTGATCAGGAAGTGGCCTGAAAAGCAACTCCTCAGTGAATTCTTCTCCATCGATTTGTTCTACTACTTCTCTCGTGGATTCAGAGCCAACGTGGAGTACAAACTCTAACAGCACGAAGATGGAAAGTAAAGGAGCCATGAGAATCTTATAGAAGAACGAAAACATTGAGAATTTAGAATCAAGAAAAACATACCTTAATAAGACATAGGGCTTGTAAATTTGAGCAATAGAAGCAGTGACCCTAAGGTCACCGGACAGAATGTTGCTGGCAAGGGCAGGCCAGGTGAGATTGCCGAAGATGAGGGGCTCCATCAGCTGGGTGACGCTGGAAAGCGTTGGACGGTGGGGCGGGGCTAGACGGAGGTCAGAGGTGGGAGGCGCCAACACCAAGAGAAACATCGGAGGTGGGAGAAGCTATTGACGTCGAGAACTGAGAAGAAGAGAAAGGGTTTGTCGAAGTGAGAAGGAGAGAAAGGGAAGTTGAAGAGAGAACGAGCAGTACAGGAGGCAATCGGGGAAAGTTCTTGAAAAAAAGCCCTAGCTACTAGGGAAATTAAAGTGGAGGGAGAAAAACAAGGAAGTTGGGGATTTTAAGTTTTTGGGATTTCACTTTCCCCAGATGGAACGCGCGCGTTCTATTAAAATTTATAAAGCGACGGTCGTAGACGACACGCAGGTGCCCTCCGTGTTTTTTTTTTTTTTTTTTTTTTTTTTTTTTTTTTTTTTTGTTTAGACACTAATTTTAGGGCACGTAAAAATGCGCGTCTGAAATCCTTTAAATTTTGGAAGAGATGACATTATTTTTTAGACACTCACCTTTGCGTATCATAAATCACTGCGTGTCATGGTTCGCACGTCGTAAAAGGCTATTTTTCTAGTAGTGATCCATTCACATAAACAGTTAATTAAACATAAAATATAGTAAAATAATAATAATAATAGCTACCCTTCTTCCATTGATGTTTGACCATCTACTAAATTTTCCATATAGCATATTTCAGTAGACCGATAAGACTTGTTTTTCCCTGTAAAAAACATTTAGAATGAAATTCAATACTCTTATAAATACAAAATGATGCTGAAGATAAATCACTACAAACAAACTCCCTATTGAAGTTTTTCATCAAAAATTTAATTAAAATAAACATGTATAAGCTAAATTATAAATAACATTTTATGCAAGTAGATATTCTATGTACTAACCGCTTCTTCAACCGAATTACCACTAAATTTACCAATCAATTGCCCACACAACACCTGAATGAATAAAAACATAGTATATCCATTTACATAAATAGTTTATCAAGCATAAAGTATAGTACGGAAATAATAATGGGTACCCCTTCTTCCACCGAAGTTTGACCATCTACTACATTTACCACATACCAAATTTTAGAAGACCATGAATATTTATTATCTGCATGTCACAAAAATTCAGATTAAAATTCAATACTCTTATAAATACAAAATGAATTATAAACATAACGACATAATACGTCATAATTTATTTATTGAATAAATTGATTTTCCTATGGCTTATCAATTATTAAATCATTCTCAAATCTACAAACCTCACCCGTACCGAACACAAGTAAACATAAAAACAAATACACAATCCACTATAAAAATCATGATTAAAATCAACATAAATCTTTACCTTTTATCCAACGTTAAATGAACACATGCTTGTACGTCACAACTCAATTGTCGATCCACACTACATTCAACAAGCTTAACAATTGCAAAAGTCTCACCCAATCTTTAAAAAAATGACATGAACAAAACCACTCACTCAAGAGAACAATTATAATCAGCATAACATTGTGTACCTATTTTCCATTATTAAATGAACAATGATTCTGCTAAGAAAGAATTGTTCAACACTTCCACATTAAGGCCTTGTTTGGTGGGGGAACAGAACATAACTATTAGTTTTCACAAGGTGTTTGGCGCAAGTAGAACTGGAATAAATTTTTTTTGACTAAGTCCAATGGGACTATTCGTATAAAAATAGTCCCACCCAAATAGGTGGAACACGTTTTATTTTCTGTTCCTTAGACGAAAATACCCTTATTAGAACGCTTCTGCAGCCTCGTCTCCATCTTTCTCGTAGCCTCATCTTGTCTTTCTCGCTATACATCTGGTAGTCGATTATCTTCTCTGCATAATCAACCAAGTAATTCTGAGTCCAATCAATTTCACGATTTCAAAGGTGTGATGTTTCTTTCTCTACTTACCTGTTCAAGTTTATTTCTTTTTTTATTCACGTGCATCGATATGTTATTAGTTATCAGTTGCTTTGTATATTTTTTATCTAGTTTTACATACTTGTATCAATTGACTTCAAGATTTTATAATTGGCCACATCCGCCAACCATCTAGTACTCGCTATGGGGTCCCACGCCCCGTGGTAATCTGGAGCTCCGCATGCCCTGAACTCCCTGAACATAAGCGTGCGCGACCCCATCATGGCCGCTACCTCAGCACGGAAAGTACTCAGCCTCTCGTCCATCATCTCTAAGATACCCTCCTTGATCGAACCAAAGATCATAGGAGTCTGCTCAAGTATGGTGCGAGTAATCTCTTAAGAGAGAAACTCCCTGGTCAGCTCATCCAACTGCCCGGCCTCCGGGCCTGATCCTAATCCCGCTTCGGCACCTGAACTGCCGACTGCTGGTCTAGGGCGTAATTCCACCATACTGAAACACAACATAATAAATGTCAGGAACACTGATATATCTCGAGGGATCATTGATACCAATACTAGCTTCCTGGTCTTGTCTCAACCTTCCTTGATTCGAGTACGGATCCTCTGCTTTCAGTAGTACGGGCCCATACTACCTTCCACATCTATCCATACTTTCCTCAAGACTGCCTTGACTCCACCAAGTCACTTCTACTACTACTGATCTCTGCTACTCTCATCCTAGGCTTACCCTAGGGAAATCTCTGACTCCAATCAAACCAGTCCTCAGCTGTTGAAGGCCTCCTTGTAATACTAATTAGCCACCACTTGAATACCATCACATGTGATGATGATAAGATAATCCTTCGAGTAAAAGACTCGTCCCTACAACGGTTAGACTCAAACAAGAGCTGCGCAATAGGGCCAAATCCAACACTCTGAGATTATTCAACTCTGATCACATGTGACATGACGTATTCACCTAATGGCTAACTCCCATCACCAAGAGTTCTACAAAGCACAAAGCAAGCAACATTCTGACACAGGAAACTACTCAAACAAATCTATTCTCATAATGAGAAGCTATACTAGCATACAATGCTAAGCTCATACTATCAGGCATAACCTAAACAAGCTATCCTACTATTGTCTAATCAATACTAGCATACAAATCTTGTAAAGCTGAAACACATATGGCAGGCACATAAGGCATCCTCCTAGATCCTTAGTCCTATTCTAGCATGCTGTTCTACTGGAACTAAAACTAACAATCATAACATAACTTGTATGGATAATTTGCGAGTACTTACTTGAGCTCGGCTGATCGCATGCACCACACCCTTATCTCGTTAAAAAATTCTTTACTTTCTAAGTGCTTTTCAAAATCTAATCTGAATATATATATATATATATATATATATATATATATATATATATATATATATATATATATAAAATCTTTTTATCTTTCCCTTAGTTTGAGTTCAGATACACCCGGAAGTGTATCCGAATCCCTCAAACCAAGGCTCTGATACCAACTTGAAACATCCCAAAAATACAACTCAATTTTTTTTTAATTTATTAAAATCATATGTTGAACATCATATCATAAATCCATACGTCAAATATCTCAAACCATAATCAAATGTCGTGATACAACTGTATCAAATTAAACTAAGTATCAAAACAATCTCCCAGAACAAAAACTGAAGTTGTGGTGTGTGCGATGCCATCAAACCGAGCTCATCCCTTTGCTTGCGGAAGTACCTGAAACCAAAACTGACACTGTAAGCACGAAGCTTAGTGAGCTCCCCCAAATTACCACATACCATACAAACATAAAGCAACTACTGGGCCTTGCCCACTGCATCGGACCGAAGTCCAGAAACTACATCGGACTGAAGTCTGGAACTAACCAGGGCCTTGCCCTCTGCATCGGACCAAAGTCCGGAACTACTGAGGCCCTGCCTCCTGCATTGGATTGAAATCCGAAACTCACTGCATCGGACCGAAGTCTGGAAATGACTGCATCAGACAGAAGTCCGGAACTACTGAACATAGCATAGCATAAACATATCAACTAACACAACATCACATACTGCATAATGCTTTGGGCCATAACCCGGAACACATAACACGCAAACCTGTCTGAACCACGAAGGCGTCAAACATACTAACTACTGCATCGGACCGAGATCCGGAAACTACTGCTAGCTAAACGGGCCAGCATTGTGGCCTTAGACCCGTTCCTACTGGAAGGAAACTCACCTCGTGAACTGGCTGCTGAGTGTATGGCTCTGGAAGCTATCTGCTGCTGCTCCGGTATCTCTCCGGCTACAATTCCACAAACACACTCAATCAAATACTAATAACTGCATTGAGGTAAAATGACTCTTTTACCCCTGGCTAAAGTCAACTCTCCCCGTGAAAGTTAACTTACAGTTGACCAGACTCGCCGAGTTGGGCCGCCAACTCGCCGAGTCCCTACTCTCACTTCTCAACCCTATTCGCTGCTACTCGTCGAGTGTGGCATCAACTAGACAAGTTCCCTTTCGATTCTAGAACTTAGGCTATCTGCATCCAACTCTCCGAGTTGTATGAACAACTCGACGAGTTGTTCTTGAATCTATGAAGATTGCCTTAGACTCGTCGAGTTGTATGAACAACTTGTCGAGTCCCTCCATTACTGAGTCTGACCTCCGGCTCACTGAGTCCATTGTACTACTCACTGGTCCCCATTCGGAATCACTCAAAAAAGGAAGAATCGGGGACTGGCGACTCGACTCGCCGAGTCCGAAGAACGACTCGCCGAGTCGCATGCATGCAGTTACTAAAAACTTGATTCTGCTTGAATCCAGCACATATAACTTGTAGATCTGGGCTTCTTATGCACGATTAACACGTAAAGATTCTATCTTTATGTGACAATCGTCAATCTTGAGTCAAGTCAAGTCATGAAGTCAAACCGGTCAACTCGATTAAACCTTGTGTATTAGGGTTTGTGTTATGTACATACTGTATAACTTGCTATATTATTGGGAAAACATCACTTGGGAAAAGTCTTGTGTTAAAATTTCCTGAGCCTTAGTGCTAATCAATGAACTAAACTGATAAAAACCATGTTGCATACTCATCGGGAGTGTGTAGGATCCTTAATCATGACTTAACGGGGCTCAAGAACCTTGCATTGTGGAGCCAAACACTCACAATTGTC